AACCTCAGCTTATCATCCTCTTTGGGATGCTACCAGAGGCTGGTACCTCATGAGAGGTTAGGAACCTCCTGACAAAAAGTTCCCTCAAGGCCGCTGGTGCACCTGGCGCAGGCTGTTAGAGGGGATCGGTCAGGAGTGGCTTCTCTGGTAGCGAGGATGACCTTCACTTTATCCTCACTGGGAGGATGCAACCTCCTAACCCGGGTCAGAATCCAGGTTCAACCTGGGTTCAACCTGGGTTGAATCCGGGTTCAACCCAGTAAAGTCTCACTTCTCTGGCTTCGAATAATGAAATCCAAAAAATAAAACAAGATTCGAGGGGGGTGGAATTTAGAGTAAATCCCTTCTCTCATCTTCTTTCAGCCCCCCCCCCCTTAAGACCCCCTTTAAGCCCTCTTCAAGGCCCCCTTCAAGCCTCCCTTTACGCCCCCTTAAGCCCGTTCAAGCCCCCCTTTAAGCCCCCCCTGAAACCCCCCCTTAAGCCCCCCTTAATAAGCCCCCCTTAAGCCCCCCCTTAAGCTCCCCCTTTAAGCCCCATTTAAGCCCCCTTTCCCGCCGTCCCACCCCTAACCCCCCCGCTCTTTACTTCTTAAAACAAAAACAATCTCGTCTCTAGTCCTCTGAGTTTTGAACAATGAAATACAAAAGCAAAACAAGATTTGAGGGGGGTGAAATTTAGACTAAAGTCCTTTCTCTCTTCTCCCCTCTTTCCAATTCACAACAGGCAAAATGCGGGGGGCTGCGCCCCCCCCAACCCCCCCGCTCTTTACTTTTAGAAACAACAACTGTCTCGTCTCTACTCCTCTGATTTTCGAATAAGGAAATACAAAAAACAAAAGAAGATTCGAGAAATTCGAGGGGGGTAGAATTTAGAATAAATTCCCTTCTCCCTTCTCCGTTTTCGAAGAATGAAATACGAAAAACAAAAGAATATTCGAGGGGGGTGGAATTTAGAATAAATTCTCTTCTCCTCTTATTGCTTTAAGAAACAAAAAACAGTCTCGTCTCCTTTCAAGATTGAACAATGCAGGTTCAAGCCAGGTTCAACCCAAGTTCAACCCAGGTTGAAGGGGGCGGAATTTAGACTAAATTTCCTTCTCTCTCTTCTTAAAGAGAAGGTAATGTTTAAAGTCTCACTTCTCTGGCTTCGAATAATGAAATCCAAAAAATAAAACAAGATTCGAGGGGGGTGGAATTTAGAATAAATCCCTTCTCTCATCTTCTTTCAGCCCCTCCCCCCCCTTAAGACCCCCTTTAAGCCCTCTTCAAGGCCCCCTTCACGCCTCCCTTTACACCCCCTTTAAGCCCCTTCAAGCCCCCCTTTAAGCCCCCCCTGAAACCCCCCTCCCCTTAAGCCCCCCTTAAGCCCCCCCTTAAGCTCCCTCTTTAAGCCCCATTTAAGCCCCCTTTCCCCGCCGTCCCACCCCCAACCCCCCCGCTCTTTGCTTCTTAAAAACAAAAACAATCTTGTCTCTACTCCTCTGAGTTTTAAACAATGAAATACAAAAACAAAACAAGATTTGAGGGTGGTGAAATTTAGACAAAAGTCCTTTCTCTCTTCGAAGAAACTCCATGAAATTGAAGCGGAGCGAGAAGCAAAGAGGCGTCGCACATAGGAGGGCCCCACTCCTCCGGGCCTTGAGGAGCAAACCCAGGAGGGGATGTCTCCTGGCAATGCCAATGCCCGCCGGGTTTGACCCGACAAATGTACTCGCGGGGGGCCATGGCTAAGAGTGTGGTTCTTGGTGGCTGGCAAGGAAGAAACTCCCCGGTGCTGGTTGGTGGCACGGACAACCAGGCGACTCCTCAGGCGCAGACCCGGGGTTTCTGTGCCTCGTAGCCACTTCTTGGCATCTTGATGCAAGTCACTGCAACTCTGCAGCCACATGGGGCTCAGATGAAGTTGGTCTGGCGGCCGCGAGAGACTAATGTCGAGGCGGATGACTTGACTAATGAGAATTTTGCATTGTTTGACAGTGAGCAGAGGGTAAAGGTTAGCTGGGACGACATTCCGATGGATTTTTTATGCGAGAGCTTTCCGCTGCTCACGAGGATTTCCTTGAAGCTAAGTCTTTGGTACGTGCTACTTCGGGTCCTAAGATTAAGAGTTCTAAGAAACAAAAATTGGCGGAGAGAACCTCGTGATGAAATTGCTTGGCGCACGGAGTGTGGGGGGCACGCTGCTCCGGACGCCTGCAGGTGGGGTGATTCGCCCGGCTCAACGTGCTGGGTGATGCATCCTGCTGCTGACGCGCATGGGTCCGTTCCATACTGCACAAAAAAGAGAGAGAGTCCGATGCTGTTTGTGAGTGACTGCTGTTGGGTTGTTCGCGTCGCGCTTGCACCCGACCCTTCGCCTCAAGTGGAGGAACAAACTACCCAAGTCCTCCCGGGGGGATTGTTCCGTTACTTGAGTCGAAGGGGTGGGTGGGCGCTCCTTGGAACGTTGGATGTAGGACTTTGGCATCTTGTGGAAAAGTTTTATGGGTGTTTTGAAAATCTACTTGAAAGTGATTTGACATGGCATGCTGTCTTTGGGGAACATGAATGTGTGGTGAAGCACTTGCAGGTATGACCTCTTTCCAATTGAATGGGCATTGTTTGCTCTACATTGCTCGAGACAGGATCGTGGAGATTTTTTGATGCCCATCCGCCACGTCCCAAAATTTCCCCTAATCGCCTGTTGCCCGTGTCTGTCCCGGCTCCTTGTGTGGTTTGTGTTCCCTAGGGTTTAGGTCCTTCTCATGACCTCAGCACTTGCTGAACATGCTTCGCCAGCTGCTGGCGCTTGCTTGCCACTAAAAACTTCTCCCGTCAGTCGGAGTACTTCTTGATACAGGTCTCTACCGCTACATGGGCACTCTGTGCCTGGATTCACTCATTTCACCAGGGGTGATTCGCCCGGCTCAACGTGCTGGGTGATGCATCCTGCTGCTGACGCGCATGGGTCCGTTCCATCCTGCACAAAAAAGAGAGAGAGTCCGATGCTGTTTGTGAGTGATTGCTGTTGGGTTGTTTGGTCATCAAACTTTATGCGCATCGCGCTTGCACCCGACCTTTCGCCTCAAGTGGAGGAACAAGGTTTGTTGTGGGGATGAATCTCAGGGTTGCGAAAAAGAAAGAGAGGTAGAAACGCCCATGGCCCTTGCTTTTCAAACTGGCAGCTGCCGGATGCGCGTCCAACTTCCGATCTCGAGGTCCCCGTGCCTGAGGCTTATTCGTGCAGGTTCTTCTCTTGATCCTGGAGCTCGAATATGAGCCTTCACTGCCAGATCCGGATGTGTGTCCTTCACTGGATGACCACGAGAAGGCAAAGGATGATCTTGAAAGAGGCCCCGTTGCAGCTGAAGAATCCAGGAAGACGACGAAGAACGCGGCAAACCATGAGATGGATGACTACAAGACACGTGGAGTCAAAAGGCCGCATCGAAAAATCAAGTCGGGAGACTTGTCATCTGGAGTGCTTTCCATTGATCTGGCAGGCCCCTACAAGAATGGCGATGACGGCTCGAAGTTTATCCTGATCGCTGTTCTTCGAACTAAGGATGCGACGACTTTGCTTTTTGTACGTGCTCTTCAACGGCGATTTTGGAGTGACGTGCTGGAGGGAATTAACTCCATCGTGACTGAGATGTCTGCACTTGCAGGTTCCGTGAGGTTGTCAGGATCCACTCGGACAGGGCGAAGGAACTTTTGGCAGAGCGAGTCGTGAAACATCTGAACTATGCGGAATTTTAAAACAGTCGGTCCGTGAGTTCATCGTGAAAGGTCAGGCGCCTCACAGATACTGGCCACTTTACTTTCAGGAAGCAGCACTTCGATATCGTGATACATCACTTGGTGTGGTGTGGCAAGGAACTTTACCATATCCTGGTTCCCGTGCGGCGGTGAAGGTGATCGATCCAGCACCACTGGAGGCTCGCGCTGAAGAAGGAACTTTCCTGGCACGAGATTCGCACGCAACGCATGGGGCACGGGTTCAAGTGAAGAGAAATGGTCGGGACATCGTCATCTTGACCAGACTGCCTGCAGTGAGGGGTCGTCAGTGGCACACCTACCTCGTGTGGATTTCTGATAGAGGTGAAGCGCGCAACGCAGATGACATCCGAGACTTGACACAGGACTGCTAACCGTCGAAGAGCAGTCACTTGGTCAGAGCCCTCTGGAAGGATATCCAATCGTGGCACAGGCTGTGAATTCAGTGGATGCTTCGGAACAGCGAACCCCTGAAACAGGCAAACGCAAGCTGAAGTACCATGTTTGGAGTGCAGATGCTGAAAAGGAAGCTTACAAGGCCGAGGCCCGAGCACTTGCTACTGCAGGAGCAGATGAAGCTGAAGCCGAGGACGATCTGCGTCTTGATGGGCGTGTTTTCATTGAAGGACCTCGACATCTACAAGAAAAGTGGAGAGATAGCTGTTAGCAACTTGCTAATAGCTGCTAATAGCTCTTTACAGATGTGTTTGATCGCTTCGATGCAGAAGCACCCGAGCAAAAAAAAATGTGTGTGATCTTTTATCCTGCCAAATTACTTATTCATGATTCTTCAGTGCACGTGCAATTTCTTTCTGAGATGATTTTCTAGCTTCACTCACACTTTGATTTTCGTGGGGCTTGTGTGACACTTGTGTATGTGCAACTTGCTCCTCTCAGTTGCAAGTGTGGCAACATGACATGTTGTGCAAATGTGGCAGCATAATCTATTTATTCACAATGAACAGATGATGACACAGCAAAACACATTCGTTGCAGTGTGTGCTGTGAACTTAGCTGCAATTTTGTTTCAATTTTGTTTCAGCGCATGGGCCGTGCCCTCGAGCGTGGACAAGCTGCCTGCCACACGCTCTCCCTTCTGCCGTGGGCAAGACGCGCGCCTATCACTGTCATTTCGTGGCCCTGGTTGCGAGGCTTCACTGAGGGCTTTCTTGCTGGCATCGTGGCATCGCTGGCTTCTTTGCTGGCTGTGAAGTTCGAAAGCAGGCATCCTCAGCTACATTGTGATGCCTCTCTGGGGCCGCTACTTGACACTGGCACTCTGCTGCCTTCCTGCAGCAACTGTCTTGTCCGATTACTCGGGTGGACCTCGCAGCCCAAGCTCCGGCTTTGACCCTGCTATGGTGAAACTGCTTCTGACGATGGCTGTCTGGATGTGGCGGTTCCTCGCCCAGCTGCCGCTGCATTGGGAACTTTTGACCCTTTCGAGGCGCCGTTGCCTACGGCCACGCAGGCTTCTTCTTCATCCTCAGCTTTGCCGTCCATGGTACCTCCAGGTGTTGCTCCGGATGCTGCGCTGGCTTTTCAGGCTTTTTCTTCAGAACGCCGCCAAGAACGGGCCCGAGAACGGGCCCTGGACAGGGAGCTATTGCTGGAGTGCCTCCGCCGCTGCATGGATGATGCTGCTGCCTCTTCGGATCTTCATGGTCGAGTTTCGGGCCCTTGGAATGCCCGCGACCCTGGTTCCGCCTTCGAGTTCCGCGGTTCTTCAGCAACAAGCAACGTCCCTGCAGGAGGTGCGCGATCGGCTGGGGCAGATTGCTTGGTTCAACGCAGATGCCTTGCTTGCGATTTGTGCGCGCATCGACTACCTCGAGCGCTTGGCTGGCGTGGCCGACTGTGAGAGGCCACGCGTTGGTGGAGGTCCTGCTGCTTCCTGAGGCAGTTCTTCTCGCGTGCAGCTTCTTCTTGTGTAGCCATGAGCACTTGCTTTCGAACGTTTTCTGAGGCGGTTTGTTGTGCAGTTCACGGTTTTTCAGTGAAAGGTTTTGTATCTCCGCCGCCCTCGCCCTGTGGAAAACACAGCTGCGTGGCCTCTGGCTAGTCTATGTGTTTTGCAATGTGCATTTCACAGCTGTGGGCTTTTGCAGGCAGATGTGAGCCTTGCTCCTTGATGACTGCTGTGATGTGACAGCACGCAGTTTTCCTGCTCCATACGGCATGTGCTCATGTGCTCTTTTTTGCTCTTTGCAGCAAAATCTTCGCGGTTCATGTTTTCATGACTTCTAATTTCAGCTTCTACACTTTAGTTCTTCGAGCCGTTTTGCAAGCTGGCACCTGAACGTGCCAGCGGATGGGCAGCTTTTCCACCAAGGCCGCAGCCTTCAAAGCTTTTTGCACCTGTACACCGCCCGCTGATTGGGCCTTCTTCCCATGCGTTTCGGGCTTGCCCCTCTCTTTTGTGCCCTGCTTGCGCTTCTTGCTTCCTACAGCATGTCCTCGTCCGAGCAGACAGGGGATGATACAGCATGTGCATCTTCGTCTTCATTAAGTGCTCATGTCCGCAATTGCTGGCTGTCAAACACCTCGAGTGCCTTCACTATGCCGTGGGACCGTCGGATGGAGCCGATCTGGGAGTCCAATAAAAGTTAATAAAAGGTTCCAGGTCCAGATTCAAGGTGCATTGTTGCCTCCCATCCCGCTGGAAGCCCCACCTCCTGAGCCACCCTTGCGCGTTCCTTTGAAGCCTGCCAAGGCCTCAGAAGTTCTCTACACCGAGAAACTTTCGTATGAGCGTAAGGCAGCTTGCAAGAAGTGGGTGGCCATCATAGCTGTATGCTCTTCTGTTTGGCAAATAGCCCAGTTTGGTTTCGGTGCACCCGCCTTGCGATACGCACAAGGCGGCCTTGTTGAGCATGTGAAGGACGCCCTCGCCTCAAGGGCCACGAGCACTCTGCACACCCGGGCTGGCCCTATGCTCAGGTACATCCAATTTTCAGTGCAAGAGGGTCTGACGCCCTTCCCTTGATCTATAATTACGTCAAGGCCATGACATCAGCAGCCCCCACATATCCCAAGTCTTTCTTGATCGCACTGAGCTTTGCAAACCATGTCCTAGGACTGAAAGGAGTGTCCGAGGTCTTGGCGTCGGGGAGGATCAGCGGGGCAGCTGACTCCCACTACATCAACCGTGCTAAGGTGCGCCAGAGACCACCGCTGACCGTAGCCCAAGTCCTATTCGCCGGCTTCCACAGGGTTTTTCCTAATCCTCCTCTACGGTCGCTTGCGGTTCAGCGATGCCCAGAATGTGACGTGCCTACAACTGGATGAGGTCGCATGTAATGGCGACTCTCGAGGGTTTCCTTGAATGTGTGGCCGAACGGACCAAGACCAGTCTCGCAAGGTCAGGGCACTCCCTATAGTCATCCCGCTATTGTGCTTGGGCGAAACGCCTTGGATTCCCGTCTGGCTTGAGGTGCGAAAGAGCGAGGATCTCTTCTCGGAGGGTCATGTTGCCCCAGGAACCTGCCTGCTCCTGCCCACGGAGGTGGCTGGTCCACGCGCCCCGTCGGTGTTGGATCGGCTGCTCTTTGGCTTCGGAATCTCTTGAAGAACACCGTCGCCCGGGGCGATGTGGCTCTAGGCACTCATTCCTGCAAGGCGACTCTTCTTTTGTGCATGAGCAAGCGAGGCCTTCCCCGCGGCCCGCGTCGCCTCCTGGGCTACCACGTCAGCAAGGGTGACAGCAGTATGGTCATCTATTCCAGGGATGCCATGGCCAGTCCATTGCGCCTCATGTGCTCGATGTTGAAAGAGGTTAAGAATGACCTTTTCTTTCCGGCCCGACGTTACTCGAAGTGGCATGCTCGTGAACCCTGGTGCAGCTCCCGGAAGAGGTCCCGGAAAGCCCCGAGCCTGTGCACAGCGACTCCAATGAGGGAGCCGATGCCGTGGCTGGCCCATGGGGTGATGATGACCCCTCAGATTCCGAGCCCCGCTTCCGGTTCTCTCGCTGCATCCACAAGGTTCTCGAAGAAGGAGGGAACAAGCTACGTTGCGGCCGTGTCCCACAACATGGAGCTCCTGAGTGAGAGGCCGGCTTTTCTGTGCCCCGTGTGCGCTACTTCTTTCAGTAGTCTTTAGGCCGCGATGTGCCAGTTTTGCAGTGAAGGCCGAGGAGGTGAACCAAAAGGTGTATGGGCGAGCTGGGAAACCGCTCTTGGTCACATACTCCCATGCACCGCATGTGTTGTATGCCCTTTAGGTTGTCCTGGTCACGTTTGCCGGCACATGAATGCGTCTTGTTCTCATGCCAATGTGGGCCGTGCCAAATGTGGGCACTCGGCATTCATCGCATGTGTTGTATGCCCTCAGATGTCTTGGTCCCATGTTCAGGATGATTGCGGAATGCTTTTCTCTCGGTCTTCGTCGCACGTGTTGTATGTCCCTAACTTATGCCTGTCCGGGCATGGTTCAGTGTGCAATGCTTGTTTCCGCACCCCCCCCTTTTACATCCCGTGCCAATGTGGGCCGTGCCAACGTGGGCACTTGGTGCTAGCAGCATGTGCTCTACGCCCTCTAGTTCTGAGCGTGCCGGCAAATGTGTGCCGCGGCTCATGTGAGCCTGGGTCATGTCCTGTGCTGCATGGCTTTCGCCTGAGTGCACGCATACACGACTGTCATGTTCATCGCTGGTGCTGTGCTCGTTGCAGTGTTGCTCAGGATGGCGGTAGCTGATAGCACTGCAGTGTTCAAGGCCCGGGCATTGGCCTGCGGCCTTGTAAGCGATGATTATGACAAGTTCAAATCTGCGGGCCTCGACACGATGGCGCTGTTCGCCTTCTCCTGCAACTATGCGCCAGGGGCCTCTGATGAAAAACCTCTCACTGATCTCATCGCCAAACTTTTGGGGGGTGTGCCCACTGTGAAGCAGCTGGCGCCCCCGCTGCGTCAGCCGACGCGCGAGGGTCTGCATGACTTGCGCCTTAAGCCCGTACCCCTAAGCCTCCACCCCCGCCCTGCCTAAGTTCCCTAAGCTCGACTTGCGCGCCCAGGAAGAGACGTTGCTGACGCACCATGCCCTCCACTTGCCCCCCGAGGGCCCTCTGTTCGTCGAGCTTTGTGCCGGCACCGCTCAGCTCAGCGCCTGTGCCGCCAAGCGGGGCTTCGTCCCCCTTGCTGTCGATACACCATGTTGTTCGGTTGCACATGTGCACATCCTCCTTGCGATACCTGCAGCCGAGTGCGTGGCTCCCTCTTCCCGATGGCCGCCCGGGCCCCCCACCGCTGCGCGACGCGCTCCATCTCTGGGGTCTGCCCGACCTCCCCGCCAAGGATCGGGCCAGACTCGACAAAGCCAATTCCTTGTATGCTCACATGGTTGATTTTGTCGGGTTCTTTGTTGCGGAAGGTATTCCTTGGACCATCGAGAACCCATCCCGTTCCTGGTTGTGGAAGCTACCCCCCGTTCATGCCCTAGTCGAGCAGCGTTTTCCTGGTTCACTGTGAAGCCTGTGCCTTCGGCAGCAAGCGTCGGAAGAAAACGGCTTTCCTCGCTTCACATGCAGAATTCCAGATTCTCGCCCGCTTGTGCCCCGGCTGCCAGTCACACGAGCCCTGGGGTGTGACGCCCGATGGCGAGTTCTGCGCCGCTCGTGAGGTGGCTTTCCCCGTCGCCATGTGCGAGACACTCTGCGACGCCGTGGAGGCCCTTTGTGTCAAGCGCGGCTGCGCTCCTGGCTCTGCAAAAACACTGGTTGCACGGGCCCCTACGTTGTGCAGATCGGGGGTCGGGTAAGTTCTTGTGTGTTTTTGGGGTTTATAGGTCCCCGTTGGCCTTTGCGAACCTCTCTCGCCCTCTGGCACCCTTATGACTCTCTTGTGCAACTGCCCGACCACCTTGCCCGGTCCTTGAATCAGCTCACCTTCTCGCCCCACGAGATAGATAGCAGAAAGCATACAGTGGCCCGACATGGCCATCTTCGATGAAATGTGCGAGGGCTTCAGGCTAGTGGGTCACACCAAGTCCGGACTCTTTAGGCCAGGCGTCAGGCTGGCATCGATGTCGGAAGGCGAACTCATGGAGTCGGCTCAACGTTTGCGGCCCCAGCTCCTGACGAAGGTGATGCAAGAGAAGCAAGATGATTTTTCGGAGGAGCTCCAGGAGACCACAATGAGGGAGGCGTCAGAGAAAGGGTGGCTCGAGGGGCCGTTCTCGCCTGCAGACATGGACAAGCGTTTCGGGAACTGGCTGCCAGTTCGAAGATTCGCAGTGGTTGACGCTCTTGGAAGTGCTTTGCAGATGGGATGCAAGACACAGAGTCACAGTGTATCATCCAGAGCATTGCGGGGAAACACTTTGAACATCAGCTTCGAGGAGACAACGTTGCCTCGATCTTGCAGCTGACTGATCCGGGGTACCACACTGAAGACCAAAGAACTCGGCGCTATGCCCTTCGGTGTGCATAGGTTCGGGATCATCTTGAAGCTTCCAAAAGACCAAGCTGAAACATTGTTCTGGAAAGGAGTTACCTGCAGATGGCTTGACGAAAGTGTTGGCTTGCACCGCTTTGGGCAAGGCTCGAGAGCTGTTGGGGATGTACGAAGCGAAGAAATCGAACGCCACTCCTTGATCAGCTTGTGTACATAGAGCCATGATGTTGCTCGATATCCCATGGTACCGAAGGAATAGTCCAGTATTAGGGTAAGGCAGTATCAAGGCGCAGTGATGTCAAGTCTACTGAGAACAAGAAACATCAAGACCTCGAAAAAAGAAACATCGTATGGCTCTTTCCGGGCAAGAGCATTTGTTGCAATAAGCTGTTGTTCCTGTCCTGAGAAAAGCGCCTAGTAGCTCACACTAGCTCGTGGTGTATGCCCGTGGTGTCATACACATTTTGGGGCAGCACATTTTGGAGCGAAAGAGATCTGGCATAGATGCAGTTCCAGTCCTCATGGGCTATGAACTCCTGGAGTGGAGGAGTGTTTGAAACGTGCCAGATACTCCATGTTCAGTCATGCGAAGACATGCGTTGGATGCATGAATTGGCTCAAGAACAGAAAGAGTGTGAGCGCGAGGGGTTCCTCTAAGTTTTTGGGTTCTCCTTGGAGTTTCGAGGGACTTGACATACAGTTGAGCAACAGCTTGGCATTCGCAGCTGCAGCAGCAACAGCAGGCAGTTTGCACATTCGGCATATTTGCATTTTGTTGCATCAAGGAGACCTTTTCGTTGCTGCACTTTGTCAGAAGCTGGCTATCTTGAGATTCAGCAGATTTTGGGATTGTCAGAAGCTGGCTATCTTGAGATTCAGAAGATTTTGGGATTCGTTGGAGGAGCTGCAGCAGCCACCGCAGCTGCAGCATCAGCATCAGCAGTAGCATCACGGAAGCATTTGCATTTCCATTTGACATCTCATTATCTGGACTCCATCATATAAACTTCATCTCGTTCTCCAGGTGGGACAAGACACGAAGGGTTGGGTTAACCTTAATCCCATCCTACTTGCTTGTCATCTGTTGTAGCCCAACACCCTACTGTTCGGGGCTTCAGGCGCCGGCCCAGCGTAGGACCCTGTGTGGGATTGGTTGTGTGGTTTCCTCTGTTCCCTATTAGGTTCAGGGTATGCAAGAGGTCTCGCCAGGACTTGAAGGCCTCTGGGGCCATGAACATAGATGAGGAGGAACTCCCATCTGTTTCGACCCCTAGAATAAGAACCATCACCTATCCCGATCATTTCAGTCCTGTCACCGACACCACAGGAAGTCCAGAACCACTCCACATACCAGCACATCCTAGAACACCAGCAACACTCACACCCTTCCCGGGTCTTAACCGACGCAATGCAAGAGGTGGACGCAACGAGCTAAGGATCTTGAGGCAGCGGAAAGAGAAAGCAAGGCAGACCTGCCACCACACATCCGTGAGCTGAGATTTACCAAGCCAGAACAGGCGGAGGCGGAGGAAGCCAGGTATGATTTTTATGAGTTTTGCGAAGGGTGCTAAAGGGGAGGGGGGGGGGGCTTGAATTTGAGGACGAAGAAGGGTGACTTGAGAAGGGGCTTGAAACCCCAGTCGGGAATTTATCAGCTTCAGAATTCTCAAATTCAATTTCAAGGAGGCTTCGAAGGGGCTTGAAGGGGGGCGAATTATTCTCGAAGGGGGCTTGAAAAAACCCCGAAGCTTTCCTTTTCTTCATGAGTGGAGAATGTGTTCTAAGTTCCACTTCCCTTCGTTTTTTGTTGTTCTTTTTGTGTTTCATCATCATAATTCGACAACCAGAGAAGTGAGACTTTAAATCATTTGAATTTACCTTTGAGAATGAGAGAGTGGAGAATGCATTCTAAATTCCAGCCCTGAAAGAAAAGGGAAGAAAAAACCCTTTCCTGCATCACCTTTGATGCATCTTCAGGAAAATTGAGACGGGATGGAGGATGACGGGAGGAGGGGCAATGGGGAGCGCGAGTCTCAAGCAGCCCAACAGCCGGCGCACTTACTGCCGTGTGCTTTCCAGGTTCTCTCTCTTTCTCTTTTTCTCTCTCATTCTTGCTCTGGCTCCCGGTCTTTCTCTCTCTCTCCCTCGCCCTTTCTCTGGTTTCCGGATCGCAAGGTTCGTTGGTACCTAGGACCTACGAGAATCTCGTTGGAGGGAGCACGGGGTGGGCTTGGCAGGCAGGATTTCCGGTCCTTTTCCAAGTTGTGAAGACGGTTTTCTTTCGTTTTCGTAAAGGACCTGGGAAACCGGATCTGGGCGCTGGAAGGGACCTTTCGAGACGTCAGAAGATGATGAAATGTTCCAGGTGGCCCCTTCTGCCCGTGCGTGCGCTGTGCAGCATGTTTGTACACTGTACAGCTGAGCCAATGGGCCAAGTTCCCTTCAAATTTGGTTGACTGCCATTGCAAGACGCAGGCCCTGGCTTCCTACACCCAGACCTGCTTCGCCAGATCCCCGGCTTGTTCCATTCTTCTATTGCTTTTATGTACGAGACGATGTGGCTAAGCTTGCGACCCGAAAGTGCATCAAGTCTAAAGCCTTTTCAAGCTGGGAGTTTTTGACCTGACTTGTTCGGGCCTTGCTCAGGCCATCAGCTGCTCCGTTGGTACATGTCTTGCAGTTGCAAGTAAGCTTGAGGCCGTTATCGTGTCGGTTTCAATTTCAGAACGTCAGAAATGCGGCAGTTCCTAGCTGCAGACTTAGCTCCGGAAACCACGGCCAGCGGCTCGTCCAGGCCTTGTTGCGCTCCAGGCGGAAGCTGTGTCGTTGTGCCATGAGTAGGACCCCCAGGATAGCTCAGAGTTGCCACAAAAAGATCGCCAGTTTACGGTTACAGTGTTTTGCAGGCGGGATTCGAGAGGCTGGTGACGTCCTAAGCCGCAGGTTGCAGGTCTGAACGTGCTTTCCGGCTCGCACAGCACGGAAGAGGAACAATCCGAAAAACAAGCCACGAGCAAGTCCCGAAGGCAGTGGGAACAGAAGCCTTGCTCGTGCTGCGACCCAATCTGATGAATTTGTGTGTCAGGAGATAATTACGTTCTCAGGCTTCGGCATGGCGGGCTGTATGCCGGAGGAGGCCGCGCGCATCGGCGAGGAGGAGATACTAGCTGCAGACTTGGTCACAGAGGCACCAAGCAGTGCCATCGGATCAGAAAACGCGGGCCGTCTCACAGCATTGGTGCAGGTCGATGTCTGCACGCTGGGTGGGGGGACGATAGCGCTGGAAGTTCCTGCTAGCAGCAGATTTGGATGGCCGGCGGCCCCGACGTTCTGCGACAAAAGCTGCTGATGGAAACTGCAGAGTTGGGAGACCGGACGAGCATTGCAGAAAGCGGCGGCGGGGGCAAGATCAACGTGACACTCGTTTCCCTGCCCATGGAAGGCGACTTGGCCAACCCGATCCGGGGCGTAGTGAGGTGCCGCCCATGCATGGGGTTGGGGGCTGAAACATGCATCAGCTTGGATGGGGCCCGCTGCTCCATCGAACGGCCAGGTGATGGCATCGGCCCCAAATCCTTCGAGTTCACAGCTGTTTTCGACGGCACTGCCTCACAGCAGCAGATGTACGATGATGTCGGGGCCGAGATGGTTCAGCACGTTCTCGAAGGCTTCAGTGCGACCGTGATGGCCTACGGACAGACCGGCTCAGGCAAGAGACATTCGCTCTTCGGACCTAAGCCAGAGCCAGATGCTACGTTCTCCGAGGATGGCAAATTAGGATTAGTGCCTCGTGCCGCAAAGAAGCTGATGCAGGCAGCCCAAAGCCGGGTCCGGGGAATGCGCTGGCAGATCGCTTGCTCTTATGTGCAGATTCGCAACGAGCAAATCTTCGACTTGTTGTCGCCGCAGCTGCGGGAGTGCGGCGTGCAAGATGTGCAGGGGAAGGCGGACATCAAAGGTTGTGCCGAAGTGGAGGTGACGACCAAGGCTGAGTTCAAGTCTTTGTACACCTTGGCGCTTTCTCGGAGCTATATCGAACCTTCAAACAGAACAGACCTCATCTTCAGGTTCAGGGTCCAGACCGTAGACTCTCTTGGATGCGTCGTATCGCGAATATTAACTTTCGTCAAATGCAAAGGCTCAGAAAGACAAAGCAAGGCCGGGGCTGAAGGCATGCGACTTCGGGAGGGGGTGCAAATCGGAATGTCATTGTCTGCCCTGGGCAATGTCATCAGCTCTCTCGCTGACAGGCGCTGCCGTTTCATTCCTTACAGGGACTCCAAGCTCACCCGCCTGCTGGAGGACTCGCTGGGTGGGCCGGCCAAGACGGTGTTCCTGGCCCACATTTCTCCGGAGTCATGCTGCTGCGAGGAGTCGCTGAGCACGTTGCGCTACGCGAACCGTGCAGCAACGATTGGCAACAGGCCACTGGCCATGAACTGTGAAAAGCACGAAATCGCGTTGCTGCCGTTTCAAGAATGGCTGGCTTCTGCCGAGCAAGGCCCCGGCCCCGAGATCTCGCCTGCGCCGCAGCGCTGAAGTGAGAGCGAAGAGGGTTTTCATATCGCCGAACTTGCGAGAGCACTGGGTTTACTCGGGCATCAGGGCTTCTAGGTTCAGTCGCTAGCCATTGCCACAAGGTCCAGTGTTTATCTTGTGACGAGAGGTCGGGATGGTTCCTTTTTGGTGCACTTCACGAGATCAGCATGTTGTCAACGACTTTAGCACCAGCCAAATCCGGAATTCCATATCCCTGGCCGGCGAATTGGCAATGTTGGCGCTCAAAACGTGTTCCTCTCCCGAGTTCGTGAAACCTATGCTACTGACCTACCCACACTCAACTGGAAGCTCAGGGTCGGCGAAGATGGGTTTTTGTTACGATGTGGGGTTCAGGTCTTAGATAAGCCCCGCTTAAGGGTTCCGATTTTTTGACGTTGAATTTTGATGCAGGGTTGTGGTTTCGGGTTCAGACCTTTCGAGAAGCTACCCTAAACCCTCAACCCGAAAATCCAGATTGGGGGGGGGGGGCAAGCCGGGCGTAGAGTTGTTTGTGGGGCAGGCAAACCGGGCGGCGCATTTCGTAAAGTAGTTTGCGGGGCGGGCAAACTGGGCGGCGCATTTCGTAAAGTAGTTTGCGGGGCGGGCAAACGGGGCGGCACATTTCATAAAGTAGTTTGCGGGGCGGGCAAACCGGGCGGCGCATTTCGTAAAGTAGTTTAATTGCGGGGCGAGCAAACCGGGCGGCGCATTTCGTACAGTAGTTTGCGGGGCGGGCAAACCAGGCGGCACTTTTCGTAGAGTAGTTTGTGGGGCGGGCAAACAGCGCGGCGCATTTCTTAAAGTAGTTTGGGGGCCAGCAAACCGGGTGGCACATTTCGTGATTACCCAGCACCGCTAGGTCTCTCAAGATGCGGTTTGGGCGTGCAAGGCATGATCTTGACACAAAAAGGCCATTGGGGGTGCGGCTGCTGTGGATTAACGTGTGCAACCAAGGGGTCCAAGCATCTGCGATAAGGTCGTGGCCCGTCGTTATGTTGAATCGTGATGATTGTTTGTCTGCCGGGCAGAAGACAACGATCATTCAGCGAAACGTGGCGTTGCCGTAACTAGCCACACCCGCTTCTGGCGATTTCCCAATTTGAAGCGGAATGTTCGGGGGGCCCATAGAGACAAGTCTGGACTCGCCAATGAAGGAAGCACAAGCACGTTGAACCGCATCTGTAGATCCTGCTTCCTCGGACCATAGAGTCTGGGCAACACGGGCCGAAACGACATGGTGTCAGGCCATTCAAGGTTACACATGGCCCAGAAGTGCTCGATTTGCTGTTGGGCGACGGCCGCGCCAGGGCTCGCCTGACCGCGTCTATGAAGTGCAGCAGGGGGTTGAAGCGGCGATACTGCTGCTCTCCCCAGAGACATGGAAGCAGTGAAGGGCACCCGAACAAACGCGTTGAGCTTGTACTTTCGAATCCACCCCCTCCGCTCCGGCCATTCCCTGTTGGTCCCTGGCCCATTCGTTGAGAACCTGGGGACTCGTGGCGCCGTGGACCAAGCATGTAAAGGGCTGCAGCAGTGGGTGTTGGCTTTGCGCGCTAATCGCGCGAAGCCCGCGAAGCGCATGAAGCGCGCGAGCGCGCGTAGGGCGGCCCCCAGGCGGACCATAGTACAAACATTGCTGCAAAAACGTGTGCTAAAGAAACCTGCGTGCCCGACTAGCATCCTCAAGTTTCCTATAGATTGAGACTGCCGCCAAAATGTATGCTGACGAAGCCAGCGTGCCCGACTAGCATCTTCAAGTTTCCTAGGTTGAGACTGCCGCCAAGATGTATGCTGACGAAGCCAGCGTGCCCGACTAGCATCTTCAAGTTTCCTAGATTGAGACTCGCCGCAAGTATGTGTGCTAAAGAAACCAGCGTGCCCAGCTAGCATCTTCAAATTTCCTAGTTTGAGACGTGCAAACATCGCTGCAAAAATGTGTGCTAAAGAAATCTGCATGCCCAGCTAGCATCCTCAGGTTTGGATTAAGAGGCGAGGTGGGGAAACACGGAATCCCGATGGGAACTTCTGACCGCTTCGGCCGGGGCCGAGGCGAATTCTGAGCACTCTTTTCTGGCTAGCCACGGTAGGAGAGGTCGAGCCGAATGCGTTTGGGGCTTTGACAAGTTCCACAAGAGAGCTGCTGTAAGTGCTTTTCGGGGTGTGGGGAGTTTCGGCCTGTTGGGGTTCTAGTACATTCTAGGGAGGAGTATTTACGGCGGCATATGTTGGATGCATGAGCTCGCCCGTACAACTTTGATTCCCCCGCATGCAACGCAGTCTTTGGGCTCGAATCAAGCCGTGTCTCTCCACGTGCAGCCCGAGCCTCAGAAGTAGAGTTCTCCAGGATCATATGGCTGATGTATTGGTTGCAGGGTGCTACATGGGTTTCTTCAGGCCTTTATGGTGTGCTTCACTTTATGAGGCGGGTTTATATAGGGCTTGTATAAGGCTTGAGGTTTGGCCTTAGGGCTTGGGGTCTTGGAGTTCCCGGACTCTGAGGCTGTAGGGTTCAAGGCTTCAGAGTTGAGGGCTTTCGGGATTGTTGATTCTCGTTTCTAGGCTGTAGTCTAAAGGGTTCGATGGTTTTACGAAGGGCTGCGTGGCTTTTAGGTTGTCGGGTGTAGAGCTTACCTATTCAGGGCTGAAGGGTTGCGGGATGGGAGGTTGAGTAACTAGGCTCTGGGCATACTTACGGAATTGACTTATGGATGTGCAACTTTGTGTACGTGAACCTACCCTTCTTTTTTGAGTTTTGTTTTAAAGTGCTTTGGAGGCCCAGTGTGAGCGTTTTGGGGTCCGAGGTGAAGGCCAGAAGCTGAAAGACACCTTAGTCAATTCGTTGCGTTTCGGGGAAGGGTTCGGGTCCGTAGTTGTTTGCGCCGGATTTTGGAAGCCCGAGCTTTCTGCAAATGCAAAGGGTTTGATATCGAGTCCAGAGTTCGGCATTTGGATTTGAAGGTTTAGGCTTCAAGATGTTAGGATGTAGGATTGGCGCTTTATTGTGTCGGTCGTCAGAGCTTCAGGGTTAGGACTTCGGGGAGATGCCGCATTCTTTGTTGTCAGACTGAGGATGGATTGGCAACTGAGGACAGATGTGGGGTTGGAATTCTCAAGGTTTCAAGAGCAGTCACCATCTCCAAATCTCTAGGGTTTTAGGGTTGAGGCATTCAACTAATGGTTGAACAGGCACTTCGCTGTTGTTAGATTTTGCACTTCGGAAAATGGTGGCTAGCTGTTATGAAATTCTGTCTGCATCATGAAGCCTACCCCTGAGCCCTGAACCCGACGAAACCGTAGTTCCTAAACCCCACGGAAATCCCACACCCACTTCAATAGTGGTTAGTTTTAGGGCGGGTTGGGGTTATGCAGGTTTGAAGGATGGTGAGGTTTAGGGTCAAAGGCCCTAGCGGCTTAGCCCTAAATCCACTAAACCGGTTAAGGGTCGAAGGAAGACAGAGGTGAGGGGTGAATGTGAAAGGTTTGGGATCCTGAGGCGTAAAGCTCCTAAACCCGTAAATCCCTGAACCCGAAACCCCCTCAAACCCTGAACTGGGTGCCTGAAGGAAGCGATGGTGGCAGCGCTTGCCAGAAACCCAGAATTCCCACGGGGTTGAAACCAACCCCTTTTCAGTTGCCAGAATCCCTGAAGATTCACGGTGCGGGGCTTAAGGGCTGGTTTGTGGTCACAAGGATTAGGGCTTTGGTTGTAGAGTTACAGTTTAGGATTCAGGGTTTAGGCTCTAAGATGCTTTGTTACAAGAACCTTGTTGGAAGCTTTCATAGTCAAAGATGGCATTGAAGAGCCCATGCAGGCCGAGAACCGTCTGTAAGAAGCTCGGAGTACTCATCTTCAGACTCCAAACCCTAGATTCTAGATTCTGCAGGCGGTAAATTCGGAGGGGCAGGGTCATGTATCGGCAAACTTCAAGGTCCCCGGCTCTTGGTTGCGAATTCTTGGGCGCTGCAGCTGAGGATCTCACTTGAATGCGAAATTGTTGGGATGTCTTTTTGAGGCCTCTACTGCAAGGTGGGTTAGTGCCAAGAACGTGGCCCATGCTAATGGCAATAGATATCAATGAAGACAGACAAGACCATGCGGAAGCCTGTTCTCTGTCATCGTTATTTTGTGCTGAGCTCTCTTTGTGGACAGTTCTTGGCATTTCACTATATTTCACCAGCGCACTTGCAACTGTGTGTGTTCTGCCAAGTCGAAAACATAGGACTTAGGCTGGCTTTAGCCTGTGCCACGTACAGTCATCGACTGGAATTTGAGAAATCACAATCAAGCTTCAGGTCAGCCAAACCAGGGCGATCGAAGCCGCCCTAGGCTCCAGATGCTTAGAGTTTGGGATTGAAAGAAAGGTCCTACTTCAGGGTTTCAGTCTTCTGGGTTTTGTTCTAGAGCCTTTGGAGATATCGGATGTACTGCTGGTGGGCCCGCGCAGATTCCAGACCACCTGCCAGGCGGCCAAACCCCGCCTGCTGCTGCTGGCCCTGCGCAGCTTCCCAAAAGCCAAAGGAAAGCATGGAAAGGGCAAAGCAAAGGGAAGCAAAGGAAAGGGGAAGGGGAAGCGTTGAAGCCCTTTCCCCACGAAGAGATGCGTGGCAGCTACGAGCAACTGCTTTGCATGTGCGTACAGAGTTCAGGGGGACATCTCGATTGTCCGCTTTGAATCCTGCGGTGAGCTCTTTGATCTCAACCATTGAATTCGGCGGCTGGGCACTTTGCAGAGCCACACAAGTGCCATAGGTCTCTGTGGGTCCCTGGTCGAGTTGCGCTTTAGTGCTGTTGCGTTGAAAGTTTGGGGTTTGGGGCTTGATTTGGGAATCAGTGTTTAATCGGGGTGTGACGGCCTTCGCCGCCTCGGCCTGACCCGCGTACATCCACTCCTGACCTAGGCTTTTTAGGTTCCGGGTTGAGCTTTGCGACGTTCTGGATTTCGGCTTTCTCAAGTTTTGGGTTCAGGCCCGAAGCTGCTCTCTGGGTTCGGGAAGTCAGG